TATCCAATATGAATTTCTAGAAAATAAATTGGTCATCAATCGAACAAATTGTCTCAATATGATTTTTCCATTGAATCCAAAACTATTCATACGATGTATGTGAATTGAATAAATTGATTGATTGATTGATTCTATATTTGAATTTGAGCTTAATGTAAGTACGGATCTGCCTTCGGCGCCGATACCTCACACCGCACTTCAGACCATTTGTACCCGCCTATAGTCCTACTTATGCACATTCCATTGGCTTTTTTTCCATGTATTTCACTCATTGTTTTACCCATTTTTTAAATTTATTTTCATTTCGGGTTACAATAATTTGTTTTTTTACAAATTAGCCTTTTTTTTTATTTTCCATTTAATTTTTCCCGCTATGCATTTGTGGTTCAGCCTGATGAGACCTATAGCGGGTCGAAACAGCGCTGTCTGGTGTTGAATCATAAATACGTTGCGTTTGAGCTTTAGTTTACAACTAGTTGCCTTGCATTGAAAGCTGGAGAGAAAGACGCAGGACGAATTTCGACGACAGTTGATGTCGAAGTTTGGCTTTGCAACAGACTGCTTTGGGGAGCTTCGTTTATCTTTGATATTCGAAGATTGAGTTCTCTGTCGATCCCATAGATGGCGTCTTCGTAAGATGGCGTCTTCGCCCTTACTTAGGCTTGTCCGTCAAGGACAGTTGAGTCCAGCAATGCATTTGTGGTTCAGCCTAACATCTCTGATGAGACCTACGGCGGGTCTGGCGTTGAATCATGAATGCGTTGTGTTTGGGCTCCAGTTTACAACTAGTTTCTTGCAGTGAAACCTGCAATGAAAGACGAAGAACGAATCTCGTCGGCGGTCAATGCTTGGCTTTGCAACTGATAGCCTTGCGAGTCTAGTTTATCTTTGATATTCGAGAATTGGGTTCTTTCTCGATCCCATTGATGGTGTATTCGTGAAAAGACCTGTCATTGTCTTTACTTACCACTAAAATAGTACCTATTGAAATTCATCGGTGGGTACTTATTGAAGTTTCTTATTTCATGACTTGAAAATATTGAAACAAATTTTAGATCTTTTTTTTTTATACGATGGAATCACCCAATTGATAAAAACTCCAGTGAAATGAGTTACTTGTTTTTCATTAAAATGAAAAATTATTACCTAATTCTCATTCAACCTTTTTTTATCAGAACATTAAGTATGGGACCACATACTTTGAAAGTTCCAATAGTACTTTTTGAGACCAATAGAAAAAGATTAGTAGAAAAATTGAAGGACAAACACGAAGGTTCGATTGTTTTGCTACAAGGAGGATCTGAAATTTCCTTTTACGATACTGACACTGCGTATGTTTTTCGACAGGTGAGATTTATGAACAGTTCATTGAGATCCTAATGTCTCAATTGAACGCATTCATATAATGAATAATGCATGTTATAATTATTTTTAATAGTCAAATTCTCAAATATCATTTAGGAATCCTATTTCATGTGGTGTTTTGGAGTAGTTGAAGCAGAATGTTATGGGGCAATTGACATATCTACTGGAGAATCGTATTTATTTTTTCCTCGCTTTCCCGAAGAATATGCTGTTTGGATGGGGCCACTTACACCACTGATAGAGTTCCAGAAAAAATATGGTGTAAACCATGTCCACTATGTCGACCAGGTGAAGTTTTTCAAAAAAATGAATTTAAAAAGTTATTGAAGATATCTATTTCCCAATTATTCATTTCAGATTGATGAAATACTTGGAAAAATAAGCCCAACAAAACTACTCACTTTGGTAAGATATGGTTTATAGTTATATACTGGGTGAATCTCTGGAAATTGCGTCGAGAGATATTGAGAAAAATAGCAGTAGTAGAATTCTAAAAATCAGGTAGTATGAGAATGAGGTTGAATACAATTTAGCTAAAAATAGTTTCACATTCCGAACACTCCCGATTATATATGAAGTAGACTCAAATTTTTTATTTTAAACAGAACATGCTACATTTTATTACAACTTTGGATTCTACATAAAATTTTAGATCTATTCCATGTCACACACTTTTTACCCTACCATAGTTTCTAAAATATTGGACATTTGGAACAAAAAATTTGCATTTGTGAGAGATTTTTTCTTTTGAATATACAGGGTGTTCATTAAACATGCTGCAAAAAACTAAAATATGTTATTCTTACATAAACATACATTCAACAAAATATTGGGACACATTGATACGTATCAATGTGCCCCTGTCAACTATAATCGAAATAAATATTCAATTAAAATAAAGCAACAAATAATCAAAAAAATTCAAGTCTACAGAATGTAACGACAGATATGTACATATATCACAGGTAACACTAAATATATTAGAAGAATCGCATCCGAAAGAAAAATATGAAAATTTTGTTGCGAATGTCAGAAACAGGTTTAAGGCCGGGACACACTTCTTCATACAGCGAATGTCAGAAACAGGTTTAAGGCCGGGACACACTTCTTCATACACCTCTCCGATCCGACGCCGGTATCCTGTTTGATTTTGTCCCAAAAGCGGATCGGTGCAGCATCGCCAGTGGGTATTCACACTTGTCATACATGCTTCCGACTTCTTTTCGATTTACCGCTCCGGCTTGATACACTTGCGACTCTCGCCAGTGTTGATTCAAACAATATATCGGAAGGTCGTCTAAGCAAAATGTTCAAGAGTTTTAGCAACTGCGATTTAACCATTATGGCACTCTGTTTGGAAGAAGAAGATGAAGAAAATTGGAGAGCTCTCATAGAAAACAGCGGTACAGCTCTTTAGTCTGGTAATACAGAACTGGATATTTCCTGACTTCTTCAATAAGCTCCTCCGGTTTTAATGACATTTTTTAAATTCAATTTCAAGAAAACAAAAAACTCAAATATCATACAAACCCCAAGCAATACTCGTCCCGCAGCTGGAGAACAAATAGACTGCACGATCGGATCATGATAGGATACAGGATTCGGAACGATGTGAACTACTCTATTCGGACTAAAGTACCATTTCCCTCTCAAACACTCGTCCGACTGTATGATGTGAGTCGGATTTGAAGGGTGTATGGCAGGTGTGTCCCGGCCTTTACACGTGATAAGGGCTAATCGTCGAGTGAACGTTGCTCTGAGCTAGTGGGCGTTTGAGGTGTATAATTACCTTCCTATGTGTGACAGACGGCTATTTCAGCGTGTTTTGTTTTCGATTTATATTGACTGTATCTATGTGCCCCATGTATCAATGCACCCCATCTCCCCCTATCTGCTGCTGGTTTATGGAGTACAGTAGTTATTACTTCTTTTATTGCCGGTAAAATCAACTTTTCTGCAGCCGCCGAAAAAGTTTTGGTACACTTGGCTGATCATTGTGATTCTCCTCCAAAATTTCAAAATGCGCTACATTTTTGTCTTTTCTATCTGGATGCATTTTATTCAAATGATCTTGAAGTCTTGATGACTTCATCGCTCCTTCGAAAATTATTTCAGGCAAAAAGGACAAAGGTGAAGATCGTTTCGTGGCATATTCAATAAATCCGTATTTAATATATTCCGCGCTATATTGCCTCTGACATAGTTTTGTTTTGTTTTCACAAATACGTAAGTAAACTGTTGAGCTCAAGTACCTACTGGCTTAATGACTGTGCGCGAAACCACTGATGGAAATGAAAGACAAATTACGAAGCGGGGTACACTGCATGGAAGCATTAAAATACAGCACGTAGGAAAAAGTTAAACATGCACAAACTCGTTTATCTCATTCAACGCTCAATCGTACTGAGCAAGTTAGAACAAATAAATATCAACACGCAAACACGGGCAACACGAACGTGGACGGACAGGATTACACAAATAAATCGTACAATATTTGTTCACGCTAAACGTGAATTATAATTGTACTTTCTAATTTCAATTTTATTTTTACTAGATAAGGTACATTAAAAATCCCGCATTCGATAAGTGATCATCTTGGCCGCAACTATAATATACCTATTTTCAATACGTTTCTCTGGAGATGGGGACCTCACCTGCAACACTTAAAGACACGAATATTTTTCAGTGTTTGATGCCTTTCACTGAATATCTCAAGATATAAATAACGTTGTGAACGCATCAAAAATAATAAATATTTAATATATTTTCAGTTTATATTTATACAATGAAAGAGGATATAAATATAAACTGATGGGTGTTGTGTAGTGCGAGGATTTTAATTTCAGAGAATTTCAAAACATGAAGTAGCTGAAGTTATAATTCACCAGTCGCCCCCTTAAATCATCAGCGCCCCCCAATTATTTCTGGGCCCCTTACCATCCTCTTTAGCAACCTCGAAGACATATGCTATACCTTATTCCAGATTATATATGTTACCGGTAATAGTTAATGAATTGGTGTTACGATCTTCGTTCGGGTTCAGTAGTGGTTTGGAACTGTATCCTAACGTTTCGCCAGCACGAGTGGCTGGCTTCTTCAGAGGTTTATTCATCCTGATGGTTCACCGATGACTCGTGATATCTAGTTCGTAAGTTGTATTTATGTTGACACAGGTAGCCCGCCTTTCTAGTTGGTGCGTTGTTATTGGCCGAAGTGTTATTACCTGTTACATTGCGTTGCACTGCTGCCACCTTAGCATTTTTGGCCGAAGTGTTATTACATGTTACATTGCGTTGCACTGCTGCCACCTTAGCATTTTTTAATATGGAATTCCAAATCCGGTTAATCGTTATCGCCTCTTTTTTTCTGTTAAAGTTTTCCGTATGTTTATGTTTTTCTATGGCTTCCCATACAAGCCAACTGTGGTATTCATGATCGGGTGCAAGTAGTTTCACATCTTCAAACAGTATCGCATGATCTCCTTCACTAAACGCGTGTTCCGCTACTGCCGATTTTTCTGTTTGACCTAATCTACAGTTTCTCCGATGTTCATTCAGCCTTATACCCATTGATATTTTGGTGGTACCGATATAAAGTTTTCCATTGGTGCATGGTATACGATATACCCCCGCAGCTGAGAGTGGATCTCTTTTGTCTTTCGCAGATCTCAGGCTTTGCTGTATTTTCCTGGTGGGCTTGAACACTGTTTTTATGTTATGCTTCCTTAGGATTTTTCCGATTCTATCTGTAACCCTAGGGATGTACGGTAGAAACGCGCGTGCAACCGTTTGTATCCATTCGATCTTAAAGCCACTTGAAGATGTTCCAATTCTTCTTGTAGATGTTCCGGTTCACATTTCCTACGAGCACGTTCCGTCAAGGTGTCAAAAGCGGGGAACTATCAACACCGTCTGTGGTAGAATCGTAGACTGATAGGTTGAAATAAAGAAGGTTTGCACTACACGAGGAAACTAAATTATCAATAACCCTATTTCATTTTCCTTTCAGAAGATTTTCATCTTAGCATATATGACGCATGTAGTGTCATTAATTGTACTATTCATGTCATTGCAATGTATGGATCCCAATATCGACCGTTGGGATAGACCAACATGTGAAATTTTTGTATAGGAAATAAATTTTGAGTAAATTTCATTAGGTCTGTGGTTCAAAGAGACAAATTGACGTCTATTTCTGATAAAAGGTTCAATCCAATCAATTTTATTACCTCACCCATTATTTCAAATGGGTATTACTGGTTTAATGAAGTCGTGTGTTGGACGCAGTCGAAGGGCCTGCTGAGATTTCAACATATCCCAATTGGGCATTCTCCCTCCTCAATACTTTCCAAAATACTGGAATGATAAGATGTTAGTGCAGTGGTACTTGATTTCTTTGATCTGAAACCATGTTGATTAGAGGAAAGACTATAATATGGTTCCCAATGGAGTTTACGAATCTATCTGAGAAAGCAAGCTGAAATGTTTTTGAAAAACTAGGTCATTGGTCACATTTTTTAAAATTTTTCCAGTTTTCCAGAGCGTAGGAAACATTACTGATTTGAATGATAAATGAACCAAATGAGTCAAAGAATTTCTTTTTCAAGATTTATTTATAGGTCATCATTTTCACAGTTTATATATACATTTTTATTACCCTTAGTGTGAGGATAGATGCACCTAAGTAACGAAAGTACCTGTGTTGCGCTTACCATCTACCATTCAGGGTATTCAATTATGTCATTAACTATCTTATATCTATACATTTCAATTAAATAATTTACAGAATTGATGAATATTGGAAATGATGAAGAGCTTGCTGAACATCGTTTTTTTAACCGAATAAATCGAGAAGTTCGGTATTGAACATAATGAATGATTTGAATAATTTTTGAATGTATTGAGATCATGAATGGTAAACTTTTTTTACTAAGAAAACTGAAATTTTATCGGGTTCAGATACACGGGACCACGTGCATATAACAGAACCCCACCTGGAATGAAACAAATAAATTAATTGAAAATGTTCAAAAGTAAATTGAAAGAATGGCTTTTGAAACAAAATAGATATTTTGCCTACCAAATCATGGATATGAGAAACTCATATACTGATCTTTTGAATTAGCTATCTATCAACTCATTATATCAAAGTAATCATTGTACATTTTTCACTTACCTCGTCGTTTTTTCCATCGTAGATGGGTCAAAATCACCAAGGTGGCGAATTCCAAATTCGGTTTTGTGATAAATTCACCAAGCAGCTATTACTTTGATGACCAGCCTGAATGATCCCTTAACTAATGTTTTAATCATATTTGAGTTGGCTGAGCATAGAACTGATTACTACTTCTGTAATTTAATTTTTAAAGTGAGCTATCGCTAAAAAAGATCATTCCGGGAACGTTT